CAAGCTTATTGTTATTACCATACAACTTAGGCTGTTAAGCTTAACCTCACTATCTGTCTGCATATCAAACATCGTAGGCATAATATGGAACAGGTTTTTTTCCTCAAGGATTTGTTGAATTAAATGAACAGTTAACTCGAGGAACTTATGAAAGATTTGTTGAATTAAATGAACAGTTAACTTGAGGAACTTATGAAGTAATTAAACCCATCATTAATCAGATTCTGTCCTCTTTATTATTGGTAAAATATCTTGAAGAAAACTGAAAAATGCTTAGTGTAATATTTACCTTTCAGTCCTACCCTATCTTGACTTTAAGAATGTTATTTTTTTTAAAGGTGCTCTTCCTAAGGCATATCCTGATAATCATCTCAGTCAGGTTGATGTAAATGAATTGTTTTCAAAACTGCTGAAAACAGGAATTCTCAAATTATCCCAGCCTGATTCTGCCACAACACGTAAGTACGATTTTTAAATACTTCATGTCAATGAGGCAAAATTTGTTTTTTTTGGGGGGACTGAGGATTGAACTCAGGACCTTATGCTTGTCAGGCAGGTTCTTATGCTGCTGAGCTATCTTCTCAGCCCAATAAGGGTCATTAAAGAATTTTGTTGTGTGGTATTAAAAAGTTCTTGGTATATCTTTTTAAAAATTTGTTTATATTTTAATAATTTTATTGAGAAAGAAGTAGCAATGAGATAGTTTCAAAATAGGTTAGTAGTACAGTTATAATAATTAATACATTGCATATTGTTTTCTTTGTAGTAGTTTTCCTAGTACAAGATGCGGACATGATATCTTGCTTAAACACTATTAATTCAAAATCTCATTGAACTAAGAGAAAGTAGCTGTATATTTATGCTATTTTGTATATACAGATATATATATATATATATATATATATATTTTTTTTTTTTTTAACTACAAAATGGTCCATTTATATCCTTTTTACTTTTGTCAGAGATGTGTATTCCATTGCAATTCATATATTGTAGGTGCATGAATTCAGCAGAGTAATCCAATATAGTCCAGTAGTCTATAATAGTAGTGGATTATCTGCAAGACTGACAATGTCAGAAGTTGTTGCCTTGAGCCCTTTACAGCTCAGCATATTAATATGGCTTTACTTTTTTATTTATTTATTTATTTATTTGTGTGTGTATATGTGTGTGTGGGGCCAGCTCAGCCCACCAGGGGGCGGGGCTGGCTGGCATGTGGTGCTGGGGGATTGAACCGCGGTCCCTGTGCTTTGCTAAGCTTGTTCTGAGTAGGTGCTTTAGACCACTGAGCCATCTCACCAGCCCCCTATGGCTTTACTTTTTCTACCTCAATTTTATACTTTTCTGTTGGAAGGTTAAGACCAAGATAAAGCAAGACCTGTACAACAAAAAGTGTAACTTTTGTATCTGACAAGGCCAGTCAAATCCCCTCAGGACTTAACTTGAAACCCAGTGCAGCAGTTTATAAATCTTTTGTCAGTGTCAGCCATGTGGATGAGTCAGGGCCATTGCTTGACCAATTTGCTCTCTGAGAAAACCTGAGAGAATGTTTTCTCTCCATGTGACTCTCCTTAGGCACATTCTACATCGTCCATCACTTTCCTCTTTGGCCCCATAATCTTGATCAGAAAATTTGGGCCACAACTGAGTTAAATGATGTTACAGTACAGGTTCTCCTATGTCCTGAGTCCTCACTGACCTTGAAAGGCTAGGGCCAAAATGTTGGTTCTCCTTGCAGCCCTTCTTTTTCTCTGATTTTTGGTCTGTAAACTTAAGTTGGTAACCCTCTAGAAGAGAAGCTTCATGATATTACCCTATAACATAGGCAGTTGAGCTTAACTTCACTATCTGTCTGAATATCAAACATCTTAGACATAACATGGAACAGGTATTTTCCATCAAGTATTGATATGTTAAACTTTAAATCCATGCTGGGGTTGGGCTGGGTCCAGAGGGGTCCAGCAGGTGCAGGGGAATGTGGAAACTCCCACACACTCACTGGGCCTGGGCTTGAGCTGGGTCTGGAGGGGTTCTGAGAGCGTGGTAGAAGTACTCACACGCCGGGCCTGGGCTGGGTCCAGAGGGGCCAGCGGGCTCAGGGCTCTTGGGGTATCTTTTACTTACTTGAAAATCAAACATACTTGATTTATAATTGTGTGTGTGGGGGGGGTACTGGGAAAAAATGGGGCCTTTGAAGTGAGCTACCTCTCAGTCCTGTGTAATTTTCATTTTGAGTCAGGTTCTTGCCAAGGTGCCTGGTGTGGGTTTCAACTTGCGGTTCCCTTGCCTCAGCCTCTGAGGGTGCTGGGATTCTAGGCATGCACCATCATGTGTGGCTATGACACACTTTTAAATTTTCTAAAATTGAACTATTATGGTGATTTGATTAACTTTGTGTCATGTGTAGATGTTTTGTGTTATTCTACATTCTACATTAAGTTCTAGATAATTTGGGTACTGAGGAAATAAAACTACAAGAAACTACATGACGTTCTTTGGCCAGTAAGGAATTTGAAAGCACTGAATAGACTTGGGTGGGTTTCTCTGTGCTTATGTAACACTTTAGTGTTCCTACACAAAGAACAGGAGTGAGCAGTTGTCTCTCTCTCTTTTTAATTGAAGAAGTAAATGAAGTTGCTGCTCAGCCTCCCCCTGAAGAGGAGGAAGATCAGAATGAAGATCAGGATGTTCCAGATCTTACTAATTTTACAATTGAAGAATTAAAACAGTATGTATTCTGATTTTCTTTTTTAAAAAAAGATTGACTTTTAGTGTTGATTTTTATCCCTTTTACTATTCTAAAATTTTGGAAGACTTTTTAATGATAAAACATACATAATATTTAGGAAGCTAATTTTTAAAATTCCCTCTTAAAATATGTCTGCTACAGAAGGACCTTTTATTTTCTTGGGTGGTACTGGGGATTGAACTCAGGACCTTATGCTTGCCAGGCAGGTGTTGATGCTGCTGAGCTATCTCTGTGGCTCCAGAAGTACTTATTGTCAAAAGGTCACACCAGTGTTTCTATTGTTTTTTATTTTTCTTTATTTGGTACAGTGTCTTGCTACACAGCTCAGACTCCCCAGCACTGGGATTACAGGTGTATCCCTGTGCCACCGTGGTCGGCGTGGCACGGGGCCGCCATGGCACGTGGTGATGAGGACGGAACGTGGGACCTTGCGCTCGCCAGGCCCGCGCTCATGGCACTGAGCTATCTCCCCAGCCCCATTTCTTTTTTTTTTAAATTTTATTGAGAAACCAGTATGAATGAGACAGTTTCAAAGTTGATTAATAGGACAGTTTTGATAATCAATACCCCATTTCTGTTATATCTGTTTTGGACTGAAAATAGAGGGAACTTAAGTATTGAATGTTAATAATTATTCCTGTTTTCTTTCTTCTTCATTTTCTCCTTTGTCATTTTTTTTCCCTGTATTTTCTTACATCTCTGAAGTTTAGAAGATGAGGTTTTCTTTCTTTCTTTTCTTTTGTATTTTAGTTCAGGGGCTCACTATGTAGACTGGACTTGTAGTGATCTGCCAGCATTGAATTTTTAGAAAAATCAGCTTTTTTGTCTTTTTGAGACAAAGTCTCATTATGTAGCTCAGGCTGTCCTTGAGCTCACCTTGTAGCCCACGCTGGTTTTCAACTTATGATAATCCTCCTGCCTTAGCCTCCTGAGTGCTGGGATTACAGGGGTGCACCACCATGCCTGGCTAAAATATCAGGTTTGTTTTTTTTTTGTGGCCAGCTTAGCCTGCCTTTGGGATGGCAGGGCTGGTGCGGCATGTGGTGCTGTGCATTGAACCCTGGTCCTGTGTGCTTGCGCTATAGACTGCTGAGCTATCTTGCTGGCCCTCAGTTTTTATATTAGGGTAGCATTATGGTCATTATATATATATGTGTGTGGTTTTTTTTTTTAGTTTTTTTTTTTTTTGCGGTACCTGGGATTGAATTTAGGACCTTGTGCTTGCCAGGCAAGTCCTTGTTCTGCTGAGCTAACTCCCTGGCCCGAATCCACTTTCCACATTCTTGGTTTTAACCAAGTGGATTAAATTTTTTTTTTTAAGGTGTTTCAGGAAAAAAAACCCTGAAAAAAAGGGGGCCTGCCCCACAACTCAAGCCAGCCAAACCTGCCCTGAAGGCATTCTGAGCAAAAAAAAAAAAAAACTGAAAAAAAAGTGTTTCAGGGCTGGCCAAATAGCTCAGCAGATTAAAGCGCCTGCTTAGACACATGCAATGGCCAGAGTTCAATCCCCGGCCTGCTGTGCCAGCCCTGCTTGTGGGGCGTGCTGAGATTGAGACTGGGCGTGGTGGTGTGCACCTGTAATCCCAACTCTTGGGAAGCTGTACACAGGCAATGGATCAGTATGAGTCTGATCTACATAATGAGACCCTGGGCCAGGGAGATGGCTCAGTAGAATAAGCACTTTCCTTACATGAGACCCTGTACTAAAATACAAAAACACAAAGTGTTTCTACTCACAATATGTAGACTTTTTCTTGTTGTTAGTCCCTAAATAATATAGCATTAAAACTATTCACAAAAAAGAACTATTCACAAAGAGTGTGCATTGTATTAGCTATAATGTATTAGGTATAATTTAGAAAGGATTTAAAATATATAGGGTATATATGTAGGTTTTATGCAAATAATATGCCATTTTCTATAAGGTGCATGGCTATCAACAGATTTTAGTATCCATGCAACTCCTGGAACCAACTCCTTGTGGATAACACAGTTTAACTGTAAACGAAGAAAATATAATTAAAATACAATTATTAAGTTTATGGGTAACCACTATCAATATTTTGTACATTATCTTCAGACCATCAAAGATTTAGATCTGTCATGTCTACTTTGATATCAACTCCAAACTTAGAACAGGCGAGTTATTATTACCTTGGCTAGCATAGGAGCCTTCCAGGTTTTTTTCTTTTTTTTTTTTTGCGGAACCAGGGATTGAACTCTGGCCATTGCTCTTGCCAGGCAAGTGTTTATTTTACTGAGCTATCTCCCCGGCCCCAAAAGCCTTCCAGTTTTAGTAAAAAGGAACTAAATAGGAGATAATCCTGTCCAGGTAGGTCTCATGGTTCATCGAAGGAAAAAGGGTCACTGTTAAACAGTTAGCTAATAATAGTAATCTTTTGGTATTAAATGCTGTAGGCAGTTTTTTTGGTTTGCCGTGTGCAGAAATATGGGAAGCTTCAGTATTTATAATTGTTCTTTCAAAGCCATTAAGCCATGTTATCAGAACTAAAGGTTACTTCTTTTTCAAAATAGACGTTATGACAGTGTTATAAACCGGCTGTACACTGGTATTCAGTGTTACTCTTGTGGAATGAGGTTTACAACGTCACAGACAGATGTATATGCAGATCACTTGGACTGGCATTATCGACAAAACAGAACTGAGAAAGATGTTAGCAGAAAAGTCACTCATAGACGCTGGTACTACAGTTTAACCGTAAGTAATCCATACGGTTTTGAATTGTCTTTTGACATTCATTTATGTCTTTCTCTAAAAGTATATTAAATAATAAATGTAAATTAATGTGAATTTTCGTGAATAAAATTTGATCCATAGAATACAGTTTTTTAAATAAAGGAATTTTGAAGAGTATGTGTTTGTTGTTTATTCAGACTGTACTAGTACACGAAACTGTTCTGGTTTTAAAATTTCAAGTTTCAGTTACTGAAATTTTTTCATAAAAATTATACATAAAGTTTATCTAAGAGTTACTGGAGGGCCGGGGAGACAGCTCAGTGGCATAAGTGCCTGACTGGCATGCACAATGTCCCAAGGTCAATCCTTGGTACTATAAAAAAAATAAGAGTTCATGGAAAATTAACATTAAGTTCTTAGTAGTTTATCATTTGCTCCATAGTTTATTTCCAAAGGGCTAAAACATGAAGTATAATTTCAAATATTAGAACATACTATGAATTAAATTGTGTTCTATTGAAGAGAAATAATAAGTTTAGAATAAATGAAGATATTTTTGATATATCAACTCATTTTAAGGACTGGATAGAATTTGAGGAGATAGCTGACCTGGAAGAACGTGCAAAGAGCCAGTTTTTTGAAAAGGCACACGAAGAAGTTGTGCTCAAAACTCAGGAGGCTGCTAAAGAAAAGGAGTTCCAGAGTGTACCTGCTGGCCCAGCTGGGGCAGTTGAGGTAAGAGAGTGCTGTTCAAATTGTCTGCTTGAGGGAATATTCTTAAGTAAATAATATTATCACTTTTATGTTTCTTTTAAATATCACTGACCAAGTGTGGTGAAATGCTGTTTCTGTCTGAAGTTTGTCCTTAAAACTTAACTTTATATATTTGTATTATATATCGGACATTATTTAAACTGATGTGTTTTAAATTTCTTACTCAACCAGTGTTTTTTTATTGGGATCAAATGTGTTCTATTATGTAACTTTATGTGGGTTCTATCTTAGAGTTGTGAAATTTGCCAAGAACAATTTGAACAGTACTGGGATGAAGAAGAGGAGGAATGGCACTTAAAAAATGCTATTAGAGTGGACGGCAAGGTAATTTTTACTTTTTTTTTTTTTGGTGAGCATTAAGGTTAATATTTTTTTGTTGGAGTGGCTTACCACTTTGAAATCAGAGTGTAATTTTGTGTGTGTGTGTGTGTGTGTGTGTGTGTGTGTGGTCAGTAAAAAAGGCATTTTTTGAGGCTTTTTGCCCAGCCTGGCTGTGAGCTTTTGGTGATCCTCCTGCCTCAGCCTCCCAGCACTTGCACTGCCATGCTCAGCTGGCATTGAACTTTATTTGTGTGTGTGTGTGTGTGTGTGTGTGTGTGTGTGTTTAGGTCTACAGGGTGTTCAAGGTCTCACTACTAGATCGGACTTGTAGTGATCTGCTTGTTTACAGCCTTCCAAGACTTGGGATTACAGGCGCGTGCCACCACGCCCAGTCTCAATTGCCCTCTCAGTGTGCCCCAGGAGCAAGGCTGGCCCCGCAGGCCAGATCATCAAACCCCCGGCCCCTGTGCCTGCTTGCAGGAGCTTTAATCTGCTGAGCTGTTTGGCTGGCCCTTGGCATTGAACTAGTCACAGAAAATGTTTTTTTTTTCCATCTATGTATTTGGTACAGCATCTCTTTACAGATTGGACTTGTGATCCTGTTTTCAGCTTCCCCAGTGCTGGGATTACAGGCGTGTGCCACCACGCCTAGACTAGTTTGCAGGCTCATCATGCTGGGGGTGGTGGCCGTGCATGTGGGACTGGGAATTGAAACCTGGTCCCAGTTGCCAAAGTGAATGTTTAGTTCCCTGAGCTATCTCACAGGCCCTGCATAATGTTTAAGTTTTGAGGGATCTTTGTGATTACTTCTGTAAGTACAGAGCCAGGTGATTTTGTGTAGCAGGTAGCATAAGTACTTATTGCTAAGCTCAGAATTGGTCTTAGAATCTGTCCTTTCCGTTAGATTTTATACTTTGATTACATCAAAACTGTTAGTTTTGATAGCACATACTACATAAATGTACAGAGCAGATTAATGTTTTCACAATCCTTATATTGATTTTTAACTGTGGTCAATTTTTAGCATCTTTACAAAGGCTATTATCTTCTAGCTTAAATTTTTTTTTTTTTT